TTTTTACAAAAAAGTGACAATCTATCTTCCACATCTCTTTTGTTAAACTTCCGCATCTCCTTCGCTGCGCAGGAACTCCTGGACGGAGCAAGACTTCGACGCACAGAGCCCGAGCAGCGTCTGCGACCGTCTCCTTCGCTTCCTCTGTGACTGTCTTCATCGCCCGTCGATGTCTTGGCCGTCGCCTATCTCCATCGAGCGCGCCTGGCATCAGCGTCGGCCGTCTGATTCGCATCATGTTGTCGTTCGTTGCGTAGCAGTAGATCTTGTCCATACTCATGCGAACCTGCTTCTCTTTCTTCAATTTCTTTTCGATGTGGGGGGTTGAAGGCGTGAGTTTCAGATCTAGATCTGGAATGGGGGTGACGACTAGGGTTAGCGGGGGCGTGGTGGAAGGTCCGGTCACTTGCCATCGCTGGCGGTCTGGAGCTTGGGGAGGTGGCCGGTTGTCGCAACTCTATTGAGCAGGGGAGGGGACGCGTCTAAGCTTTGGTTGGGGCTGGGGCTGAATGTGGTTGGGTTGGTGGGGCTGGCGAGGGGGATAGGCGGCGATAACTGGATGAAGTGGTGCGGTGGTGGACGTTGGGCGGTGCCGCAGTGGGGTCACTGTGGCGGCTGGCATGTCACTGTAACCGTCGACGGTGTCACTGTGATCATGTCATTGTGATGGTAGGGGAGTCACTGTCGCCGCAGTGACACAGGCAGTGGCTACAGTGACACGAGCGGTGGCTACAGTGACACGGGCGGTGGCTACAGTGACACGGGCGGTGGCTACAGTGACACGGGCGTTGGTTGTAGTGACATGGGTGGTGACTGTAGTTACAAAAAAACGAACACGCAGTGACATAAAACTTTTGCAGTTACATCATGTTTTCTAATTGCACATATATGACCTTCTTGATCACTTTTTTGCCCCTTTTTAAAAGTGATCACTTTTTGGGCAATTGGTTCAAAATGAGTAATATTCAAGTAAAAACCCCTTAGACTTTTCACATGGGGGCTATGTTATTTTTTTTTAAATTGTTTAATTATTTTGAAATGTCATTGCTATATATTCTCCTAAAGAATTCTTCAAGATTGGTATAAATGATGTGTATTTTAAAAACACTTCATGTAAAGAGGAACCGAAAAACCCGGGCATGACCGACTCGTTTTAAACGGACATATAAGGCGCGGTTCCTATTTTTGGAAATGCTCTACCTGACATGGGCTGGCCTGGAACCGCTGGTTCTAAAAATAGTATACATTACCCGGCCTTACCCAACTCGTGCCCACTCCTAATACGTGTGTTAATTGGATTTGTTTCAATCCTAGACCAAATCAGATCAAACCCTGACAATTGTAAAATATATAGAGACCAGACATCTACTAGAAGACGAGACCATATCATACACCAGTAATTATAAAATACACAAAGACCAAACACCTATTAAAGTAGAGCAGATCATACCAGACTAAAAAATTTCAATCCAAGTAAAAACACAAGTGTGTATTAAGATTAATTAAAAAGGAATAAATATACGTGGTGATTCAAAATTTTGTTTCTCAACTTTATGGATGACACCCCAGCCCTGAAGGCACCCCGACACCGATCAGACAGTTAGATGGGAGAATGTAAATTGAACTTTAATCACAAGTTAACAAATAGAGAGCGTGACTGAGGAGGTCTCTGACCATTGTACTTGTAGAAGCCCGTTTTGCATAGCTTTATTAGTATGGATGATATTGTATCGAATCAATCAATCCAAAGACTTGTATCAACCGATTCCAACCAATTCTTTCTGGTACGTACCATTTGAATCATCATTATATGGTAGGAGTTTTGATGATTTAGTGGACCATGTCAACGTATAAGAACATCTGATTCTAACTTTGTTCGGGTTTAGAACCACGTACAACAATATCCACTCCTAATTCCTAAATTGAAGACTAATTTTATCCCTTAACAGGACAAAGTGATGGTTAGAGAAAAAGACGGTAAGATTTCTTCCTTCTAGGAATTTGAGGTGTTTTCGTGATCAGCTTTTGTGGGTGATGCCATAATGATATGACCAGTAACTGAGCACAACTCTTGCCTTTTTCCGATGGCATTTTATTTGATGATCTCATTATGCATCCCTAATTGGAACTCTGCTCAAATGTTTTGCTTAAAGCCGGTCTCTGACATGACACTCTATACTCCCTCCTCAATTCATTCACGTAAGATGTACGGAGTATTGCGCATTAAATTTAATACTCCGTATGAAAATAAATACATACACAAAATCGTCCCGCAAAAAAATTAACTAATACCCATACCCCCGTTCTTTTTTATTAGTCTTTCCTTTCTTTTTGGAACATTTTTTTTATTTTTCCTCCTTTCCCTTTAAGGAAAGTTTTTGAGAAAATACCTCCACTTTTATTACTTTTATCTCACTTACTTTTTATAAACTACTTTCTCTTTCTTACTTTATTATCACTTTACTCTTTTTAATACACTCTTTTTCTTACTTTATTATCACTTTACTCTTTATAATATACCATCTTTCCTACTTTATCATTTACCATACACAATCTATACCTACCCTACTACTTTATTATTAAAACTCGTGCCAAACCCTAAGAGGAATAATAAAAAAGAACGGAGGTAATACGTAGTACTTGTATTATTTTAGTATTTTGGAGTATTATTTTTAACTAATATATTTATGTAAAATTTAATAAATTTAGACTTTTATAAAAGTATTTTTAACAAAGAACATTTTCATATCATTCTCGTATTATCAACACTACCATATATAAATATATAGTCGGTCAAAGTTTAACATCATTGGCTTTAAATGTGAAATTTAGCTAAATAAAAAAGCAGAGGAAGTATTAATTACTCACCTTTACATCCTTGATAAGTCCGTATTTAGACACACATTTGATGCGTGTTGAGATTGGATTCTGATGGTTTTACTAGCTTTAAGGTGTTATAAGTCTCAATTTTAGCTCAAGTTATGTTTACCAGGCGTTGGTTCGAGTTTTGTGTCATTTGGAGTCAAAATCAAGAATTTAGAGTTCGGCACCGGCGCTTGAGAAGCAATTGGGATGAGTTGAGAAGCATTCGAGAGTGAATTGAGAGCAGTGGAGTTCAACGGGATGTTTACGATGAAGATTTGATGACAAACGAGCTCTAGGATTGGTTATGAGATCAAAAGAAGATGAATAAAGCTTGAAAACGGCATTAATGATGACCTTCTTTCAATCGTTCAAGCATATCTCTTTGTAGAAGCATCCAAAGAACACGATTGAAAGTCCACATGAAATCCAACTTCAAGAGCTACAAATCATATGAATACATCATTCCGAGAATCTGAGAGGAAGAAGATGAAAACAGACAATGAAGTCAGATGATCCCTGCTGCGATTTCAGAATGAGACCTTCCACCATTTTATTCATATCTCTTGATGGGATGATCCAAATCCAATTCGGCAAGTTGTGGTGGATAGAGGACTTCATTATCTACAACTTTCATGAAGGAAGTTTGGTCCAATTCGGAAGTTTTACGCACGCCGTGCGTAGGGGAACGCACGACCGTGCGTCTGAGGCGAGAAAGCAAGGAAGATACTGCCAGCAACGCACGGCCGTGCGTTGGGGGACGCACGCCGTGCATTCCATATTTTTACGCGGCTATGCTCCGGACGCACTGGGGGACGCACGCCGTGCGTTGCCCCTGGAATCCTAATTTCGCTCAAATTTCACCCGATTTTTCTATTTAAACAGCCTGTAAACCCCCGTTTTCAAGGGGGAGCTTAGAGAGAGTGCCTAGCACGAATTTTAGAGGGCTTTTCAGCCTTGTTCATCAATCTTTTGGTATTCTTTGTAAGTTCCGTCTTTTTAATTAATGACAATTAATTCTATTCTTCCCAATTCTATTGATTCTTCAATTATGAATTGTGAGTAGTTTAATTAGGGATTGAGATTGATGAAGGGGTTGATCATGATGTATGGCTAGTTTCTTGATGGATTAATTGCATGAATGCCGTTTAATTTGTGTTTGAATAATTTAACTGATATCTTTTGTAACCTAGAACGCGCGCTAGAATTACAATTGCTTGTAGAATAAATTAAGAGAGATCTAGTTTATTCTAGGACACCTTAACACACTTAATCGTTCGCTAAGAGATTAGTAGCGATTAACGGGCCGTAAGCTCGCTCGTCTCGACAATAATTTAGGATCCTGTCGCATGAGAGATCAGCCTGGTCCCCCTAAATTATTGTATTCTACGCCGCGAGAGCGGTAAGAACTTAGTAATGATTAGCTAGACTCAATTGAATTAATTTCATATAATTAGGCCTGATCTGCCAGAAATCTGGTTACCCCGGAATCAATCCCTGTTCCCTTCGTCATTAATTAGAGAGAACCCATTTATTTTAATCGTTTAGTTGCATTTTAATTTTTCATACCAATCATATCTCGCACGACGCATTTATTTTATTTATTTCATTTAATCGCTGAATTTAATTAATTCTTGATTCCCTTTTGTCCGTCCCTGTGGAGACGATACTCGTACTTACACCACTATATTACGATCTATTTTAAGTGCGAGAAAACACACATCAATCCTTTTAATAATTCTATAAATTTTTTGGTTGTACTTTTTATCTTTTATAGTACTCGTTCTAGTTAAATGTCAGCATTCTTGACTCAAATAAGTTCTAACCATGTAACCTCCTCCAAGTGAGTAGCTGATGTCATCGAACAATAAAGTACATAACATTTTTTTTAAAAGATGTCTATCTATATCAATATTATATACTATTGAAGAATTCAATTCATAGCTTCCATGAAGCTTCCTCCATGTGCAAGCAACAACCATGAAGCTTCCTCCATGTGCAAGAATGACAAATGGAGCTTCCATACACCTAGGAGTGACCTTCCTTCCAACCACCATTGAAGCTTCCTTCCACCTTCATAGTACCTAGTTTTGGTGCTATAAATAGAGAGCTTGGAGAGTCTTTCTATCATCAAGCAATTTAGATCATAGATTAGAATACCACAACCAAGTTTGAGTTGTGAATATCCTTGAGAGATATGTGAGTTGTTTTTGAGAGTTTTTAGTTAGAGCTTGTATGTCTCTTCTTTCTATTCTTGAAAGTAATAGAAGTGTTTTTCTCTCAAATTAGCACGATCCTGTTATTCCCAACAAGTGGTATCAGAGCCTGGTTGAGCTTTTGATATTTTTCCCAGATTTTTTTCAGATAAAATTCTACTGTCTGAAAAATTGAGTTTTTCAGTATTGTTCGGAATTGCAATCTGAATATACCGTTGGATTCGTCTCGTCGAGACGAGAAAACTGGTATTTTTGGGGATTTTTTTGGCCACCAGAAGCTGCCGTACGCGCCGCCAAACGCCGGCCAAAAACTGCCTGCGTCATGCTGACGTCATCACGCGCAGACAGAGGTTGAAGACAGCTGGCGTCATCGCTGACGTCATCAGCCAGCCAGAGCTGCGTCAGCGCCACATGTGCAGTCCCAGCACAGTCAGCCGCCACGTCACCAGTCAACTGCCAACTTTCACCAGCGCCCCGTCAGCTGCCACGTCATCGCCCAGTCACCGCCACGTCACCGCCACGTCACCGGTCAGTTTGTAATTTTGAAAATTTGCAGTTTGGTCCCTCAATTTTTGGAAAATTATAATTTCCACCTATAATTTTTCGAAAATTGTATTTTGACCCCGAAAGTGCCTACCCACCACTTTCGGCCGTTCCGGACGCAACGGTGCTGCCCGTTTTTCGAAATTCGGCTCCGATTTTTCTGAAATAGAAAATCAAAATTATTTAGAAGGTGAAAATGACCTTTGACGAGTCAACTTCATCTTCTGGAGCTATGATTATGCTCACGGCTACCAACTACACGCTATGGAAACCTCGGATGGAAGATTTCCTTAGTTGTAAAGACCTTTTTGATCCAATAGAGATGAAAGGTATTAATTCTGATCCGGCCAAGTCAACGGAATGGAAGAAAATTAATAGAAAAACTATTGGTCAAATCCGACAATGGATTGACCATAGTGTCTTCCACCATGTTGCACAAGAAACCGATGCTTATGCCCTTTGGAAAAAGTTAGAAGATATGTACCAGGCCAAGACCGCTAGGAACAAGGCCCTACTGATGAGGCGTCTTGTCAATATGAAGCTCAAAAGTGGAACTTCTGTTGCCGAACATACTAGTCAATTTCAGAGTCTGGTAAATCAACTATCTTGTGTAGAAATGCCACTTGGAGATGAAATGCAATCTCTACTCACTACAACAAAAACCAGCTATAGAGGCAACTCTTTGAGGCAAATTGTCTCTAAAAGATCCTTTTAGCATCATATAAATTGGGGTTGCCTCTAAATTTATAAGCTCTAAATACATTTGAGGCAACCGTAGATTAATTGTCTCAAAAAGGTACTATTTGAATCAATCTTTTTAGGGTTGCCTCTAAAAGCCCGTTACAAAAGTATGGCCGCCTCTAAAACATTTGATTCTAAAAGTGTGTCATTCATAGAGGCCACATTTTGGGGCATGTACTTTTTTTCCCTTTGCAAGATGCGATTAGTGACAATTAATTAAATCATTATTGCCTATCAAGTATTCGGATTTCAAAATTTGAGTGTCTTTAATCCACTTAGAGCCTGTTTGGTGACATCTGTTTTCAGTTTATCAAACGTATCAGCCAACTTTTTTACCAAACACGTAACTTTTGATTTCGCATGCTGAATTGTGTAATAATAAGAAAAAGTAAGGTTGTAGTTACTTTTCTGGCTGTATTTGTTGAAGTACTGTAGAGGATCATTTTAGTTATTTTTTCATATAGTTTTTAATTTTATTTATAATTAACAAATATTTTAAATATTATTTTTTCATAAATCAGCAGAATCAGCCAATACAACCACTTTAGCCAGAACTTCATAAATTTCAGTAGAAGCAATCATTTCAGCCAATTTCAGTCTTACCAAACGTCTCTTAATATATTTTTCCCACTAATCAAACTTATCTCTAAAATTTAGCCTCCTCCAGTTTCGGTGCACGGATAACAATCAACCCGCCAAAATCAACCCAGAAATTTTTTCCTAAAAATCGTCCCGCCTTTTGTCCATTCCCGCCGTACAAGTAATAAAACTTTTAATGTAATTATCGTATGTACACCCAATTCCACTCCATTCTTGCAGCCTTCTCTTCCCATATCCCCTTAACCCTACGCACCTTCCATCAATCTCAAACCCATTGCTCTATCGCACAGGCCAGAGAAGAGAGGATTCAACATATCTAGGTTATTTCTGGGTGCGAACACAACTCTTCCTTAATCTAGGCGAGAGGGGTCTCGTCTTCATCTTCTCCGGGCCTTCTCCGTGCCTGCTCCATCAACGGTAGGTATGAATCCCTTAATTCGATTATCGCCACTTCTGAGTGAAATCGTAGATATAGTGATTTTTTTTTAAAAAAATCAATCTTCCGACCCGTTTCCCCTTGGTGACCTGCTTTCGTGTGACATCTGATATGCCTTCTCTTGTAATTTTTTATTACCTTATAAATTATCATTATGGTTGAAGCTATAAATTGTTATGATAGTGTAAATGACTATTTTGTGAATTGAGAGTGATTTTGTTCTGTTTCTATAAATTGCTATATTGAGATGTGTGTTTGTCATGGCCCCTAGTTTCAGCTCATTTCCTTTCCCTACATATGTGAATCAGCAGCATATTCTTCAAATTTTGGATTTGAAGACTATGATTCCTGAAAATTTGAACTTCATTTAAATATTTAATACAAAATCTGGAATGTGAACTTCCCTTAATAAAAAAACTTCATGGGGGTTGAGTGCTAACTGTTAAACACTTGAACAAAAGCACTTCACTGCCTCTCTTCCTTTTCCAGAGTAGTTTCCGAATTTTGGTTAATATATATGTGTACCATATGTGTTTTTGTTCATATAGCTCATAGTTCATAAATTTTCCATAAAGCTTTAGTTTAGATAGACTTAAAATATGGCTTCCGAATACATCATTGGCCAGATTTCTATTTTTTTTAATCTGTGCTAAATGAAAATAGCAAATAACATAACAAAAACAGAGTACAAGGTGATATCCGGGACTGGATTCTTTCCGCTATCAACCACTAAAGCTTCATCTTTCTCATCTACAATTTTCTGCACTTTGGATACTAGACATAAGCGTATGTCTTTGCACTCACTAATGGATAATAGGACTTCATTGTCTGATCCATATCCCGGATGATATTCCAGATTTGCATATTTAGAGATGCCTAGTGCTCCTTTTTCATCTAAATATACTTACTTTTCTACTAAAGGTTCATTTGATGGCCCCTTTGAAGATTCTGGTTGCTCCAGTTGTAGTTTTTTTCAATTTATTTTGGTTCATGCTCTACTTTGTTTCACTCGCTTTTGTATATCAATTCCTTCATGTTTATTCATTTAATAGTAATCTTTATGGACCTTTCTAGAAAGAATTCGTATTATTTGATTCTTTGTAATTGTGATTTTCTGGTTATAGCTAAATTTATTTTGGATTAGATTTAACATGTCAAAAAAGGGAGGAAAGACATGTCCAGAACGTGTTGAAGTACCACATAATGAGTACGAACAACAAAGAATAAGGACGATTGAAGCGAACAATCTGAAATTTAAGTCGTTGGGAATAAAGCGCATTGTTGCTTCAATGACAAACTTGGTAGACAGTGGCAAGAATAAGAAAAGAAAACACAAATATAGAGGCAGTGAGGATGGTGATGATTATGTGCCTGATGATAATGATAGTGTGGAAGACTCTGAGAGCGAAGGTCATATTTCAGTTACAAAAAGGTAGTGTTCATTTTTCAACTATCGGTTATGGGTTTGATGATTAGCTTTTACATCTTTTAAATATTGATTAGTATGCCGTTATACGCAGTATATTTATCACTTTCTATTTGTTTGATGCCGTTTCAGAGAAAAAACACGCACCAAAAAGGGGCTGGAAGACAACGTAACTTCATTCCACCATCGTCTGTTACCAAGTTATATGGAATGAACAGAAAACAATCAACATTAGTTGGAAATGCAGCACTAAAATCTCTATCAACTGCCATGAAAGCTTCTCAACGAGGTTATATTATTTATTTATTTATTCATATAATGAATATATATATATATATATATATATATATATATATATATATATATATATTATTGAGATACAGGTAAGTTAAAAATTAGATTTAACAATCCAGCCAACAGTAGTCAACCACAAATGGAGGTTGGTCATGAAGATATTGATTTTGGAGAAGGTACACAAGTAATTTTTAGCATATTTTACATTTTACCTATAATCAAAATTAGTTTTTTTATATTTTAAAATTACAATGCAGATATCTACGGTTTAGAGAATGAAGAGCACTATAGTGGAAATGGTGAAGATTTTGAAATGGATAGAGAGAGGTATATGATGTGTACATTATTTATAGGGTATTGTTTATGTGGACATTATTGTGACTTTTTATCCTTTTTGCTTAGACGATCAAGATGATGGTGTGCTCTTAAAAATGACTACAAGCTATAACAATGAGGCAAATGCTAATGTGGAAGGAGACACTGTTCTGGGTACAAATTATTTAAATATTTATTACGCTAAGCTTTATGTATCATACTAACATGATACTTGAAACATTAAAGGAAAGTATCATATACTATTATAAGTTGAACTAATATTGCTGTTTTCTTTTGAAGCTGCGAATATCAAGAAGAAGAAAGTTTACAAGTCAAATACTCCTAGAGGTCCCACAAGAAATCTACAATTGGCAAAACTGAGACCCGGTGAGAGGAATAAAGTAGACTTTAACATAAAGGGAGAACCCATTGGTGTTAATAGAGCTAGTCTAGCGAACTATTGTAGTGCCATTGTTAGAGATACTCTCAATGCACCACTTTATCAGATTGAAGAGTTTTCACAAATACCCGATGAGAAAAAGGATAAGATGTGGCGGCTTATTTTGGTATTGATAATTTTAATCTATGTAAATAGTACATTGGTTTTATTTAAGTTATTAAATTTTGCTAAGAGCTCTTGAATTTTGCAAGGAAAAATTTGATATTGGGCTTGATGATGTTGAAGATGAAGAGCAATATGAAAAGCTAAGTGAAAAGAGAAAAAAGACTTTGATGAAATCTTTGAAAAAGAAGTACAAAAGTTATAGAGGAAGACTGAAAAGTAATTATTACGATACTGAAGACACAAATGTGGAACGGTTAAAGGATGAAAATAAACCACCGTGTGTTAACAAAAAAGACTGGAAGTGGCTTGTGGAGTATTTTGGATCTCCAAAGTTTCAGGTAAAATTATTTATTTATTTATTTATGTACATGGTTGGCTTTTGCGTGCACATTAGGGCTTGGTAGCATTCCTTGTTAAATCTGTAACAAATCGTTAAGAAAATCTGATATTTTAATTGTGTTGGCTTAATAGAATTGTGTTTATTGGCTTAAAATCTGATATTACAGGACGGATATTCCAAGTTTCCGAATGAAGTTGATACTTGATACTTTTTCAAGTTTTGCACATACTTTTTCAGTTTTGCCTTAGCTGCCATCTTTTTTAATTTTTTACTTCCATATGTTTGCTTTCATATAACAGGAGATGAGTAAACGAAATAGTAAGAACCGCTCATGCCAAACTGCTGGACACACCGCTGGCACAAAGAGTTTTGCTCAAGTTATTCATGAAGTGGTACTAGTTTGTGTCATACGAGACATTCCATTTATATTTTGAACTATTTAACGGCTAATTATTAAAGTTTTTGCATACTAGTGTGAAAAAGAGCAAGTCATGCCGAACATATTGGAAGCATACGAGATAACCCATACCAAAATTGATAAGACGCTAGTGAATGATGTTGCGAAGCAAAATATTGTAAGTACTATAACTATATGCAATTTTTTTTTATTGATTTTTAATTTCAGCTCTTGTATATGATAGATGTAAGATATTGAGAAGTCTTATATAACGTTAACGACTTTGTACTTCAAGTTTGTTATTTTGTGCTCCTGTATGTACTTCATGATGTATATTGTAATTATCACTACATATCAAAGTATCACATATAGTCAGCTCTTAATGTATCACAAAATTTGACTACATACCATATACCAAAGTATCACAGATATATAGTATACGAGCTGACTATCTGTTATACACTTATACTTTGGTATGTAGTCAAATTCTAAACAATTCATTGCTTTGTACTCCAATTAAACTGGTTTATACTTCTTATATGCCTGACATTTTTTTTAATTCCATTTGCTCATCTTGAAGGGGCGTTTATCTTTGTTGTCAAAATTAACAATGTCAAGTTGTTACACAAGTCAAGGCCTAATTGCGCTACCCTGAACATTATCAAATTAAACTCACTACTTCAAGGCATATAATTAAAGATAAAGTTGTCCTAAAAGATTAGCTTAATAATATACAAATACTAAGGCCTCTATCTGTTTATCATCATTCTCCTCTCAAATTGCATCTGCCAGTCTCATCCGTATAGAATCTGGGGATTGTATTTTGTTAACACAAACAAGGAGATCACCGGTTAAGGACATCTTTTCATAAATCCACTCTGGTGCTAGGACATACAGTAAACTGAGTTGCTCTTTAGCTTCTCTGCTATCGATAATGTCTATGTAGTTCGCAAGTATTTTGTGCATAAGCTCTTCTTTTGTGATAACTGAGCGTTTGAGCGTTTGATGGACTGGAATAGGAAATAAATTGTGTCAAACATTTTTGGTAGGCCTGCAATCATTTGCTTTCTCCACTATGCCTGGCATATAATTTCAGATGTTATTTTTTAAAAAAATCAGTTTATATTAGTTTTATGTATTATAGCTTTACAATATGTTTTGATTTTTTATGTTAGTTTTATGTACTACAATATGTTAATTGTAAAAATCAGAGTATTTTGAAATATGATATTTGAATCACACTGGCTTGACTGCTTTATTTTTGCTTCTTAATTAGTGTTCTGTAAAACTGATATCACTTTGCTACAAACTTTGTCACTACTTTCAATTTGTTATTTTGTAGTGTAGTAATTGTGTTAATACTAATGTTTAAACGTTTTTACAGTAAAAAATGAAGGAGCTTTTAGAGCAACGTGCAGCAGGGAAAAATAATTTGACGGATGAAGAAATTTATGAAAAAGTTAAACCCAAAGGAAAATGCCAACGTGATCATCGAATGGGAGTAAGTCCTTCCATTACATCAATGTATGGGTCATTCAGTGAAGGAGAACAATTGCGTAAAGAAGCAGAAGAGGCCAAGAAAGAAGCTAATGAGGCTAAGAAAGAAGCATTTGAGGCCAATGAGAAAAATAAAGTGCTCACCAAAGAAGTGAAGCGTTTCAAAAGCGAGATGAAAAATATGAAAGGTTGTATGGAGAAATTTTTGAACATCATGGGTTATGATATCTCAGATTTAATAACGAATGAGGTATGCCATCATATTAATTTCTTTAATCTTTATTAAGAAGTATTTTGAGTTTTTTTATGAAATACGGAGTATTTATTTACTATTTTTTATGTGCCAGGTTGATGAGGAGAGTGATGAAGTATCATCGGATGGAGAAGATCAATGAATTATTTGAAATGATTTTGTCCTTAGCTTGTAGTTATATTTGACTTCAACTTTTGATTAGTAGGCAATACATTTCTTTAGCTATGTATTAATATATTAAATATTATTGACTTATTATAAAATTTTGAAGTTAGTTATTTACTTATTTGTAATAGTTGGATGACTAAACCTTGCTTTGTATTTATGCTGCATCATAATGCAGTTTTTGCTTTGTTTTTATAGTTTGTGTTACTGATTTTAAGTAGTCATGCAACAATATGTTTAAATTAATCGAGACAATATAATATGATTGTTGTTGAATACATCCTTTTGTAGTCATCTAAAACCATATAATAAAAAAATGTGTTTGAATATGCATTGTTATATGACGTTGCCTCAAATGATCTGATATTTAGAGTCACCATAATATAATTATTTCTAATTATATTTTGAGACATCATATTTTGGGTTGTCACTAATGATGTTTAAGGACGGGATAAAAGGTTTGCTTCAAATAATGTTTTGGGACAATATATTATGATTGCCTCAAATACTGTTTTGGAACAAGGTGACATGATTGCCTCAAATGGTGTTTAGAGACAAGGTGACTTGGTTGTCTCAAATGATATTTTGGGACACAATCATATGGTTGCCTCTAAATGCATATCATTAGAGTCAAATATTTTGTTGCATCTAAAGGTAGCTTTAGAGGCAACCATCATTTAGGGACGGATTAATTAGGGACACCTTAGAGGCAACCAATAAATTGCCTCAAAAAGTAATTAGAGGCAATATCTTCATATATAGGGACCACTATGGCTTGCCTCTACAAACCATTTTTTGTGTAGTGACTGCTTCTTAGTTCCCTTCCTGATAGTTGGGAGACACTAGTTGTTACTCTCAGCAACTCAGCCCCAGATGGCAAACTTACCATGTCTGTGGTCAAGGATGCACTGTTCAATGAGGAGGCAAGAAGGAAAGACATGAGCACAGATGAGACTCATGCCCTTGTGACAGAGAATAGAGGAAGATCACAAGGAAAACAACAAAGAAACAGTAGAGGGAAATGGCAAAGCAGGGGCAAAAGTCGGGGGAGATCATCAGATGGCCGGAAACCTTCTTATACCTGCCACCATTGCGGTATAGAGGGTCACATGAAGAAGAATTGCTACAAATTGCTAGAGGAGCGAGGCAAGAGCAATTCTCAAGCGAAGAGCAAGGGTGGTGAAGCGCTCATCACAATCTCAGGTGATGTGGCGTATTGTACTATCAATGATGAAACATGCCTTCACGTCTCAAGAGAGGACACTGAATGGGTGGTAGATACTGCAGCATCCTACCACGTTACTCCCCACAGGTACTACTTCACAACTTACAAAGCTGGAGACTTTGGAGCAGTGAAGATGGGCAATTCCAGTTCATCTGAAATAGCTGGAATTGGTGATGTACAAATAAAGACGAGTTCTGGGAGCACAATCACTTTGAAGGATGTCAGACATGTTCCAGACCTTCGTCTCAATCTCCTGTCAGTGGTATGTCTTGACGAACAGGGGTATGAAATAAAGAAGTAGAACGCTTGTTATTAATATCAAAAGGTAAGCGTTTGCTCTTTGCTAATTGACATGAATGACAAACTGAGGGCTTGGGTAGAATGGAAGTAACAGAAATACGACGTAATTTATTTAAACAATGGATAGTATCAAATGCGACATGGACAAGGCGGGAATGCCATTATTCAAAAGAGCCTTTGAGCCTTCTAGAGTGCAGCTCTCCAAGAAAAACATCGTGACCGCGATCAAGAACATAAAGCCCATGCTCACGCCTGCCCCTTCCCACGATCTCCCCTGTTATCTTGTGCTGAATGGTAAATAAATTATCATCAAATATAACAGTAACTGGCATGTCTCTTGTGAGTTTACTAATAGAAAGAAGATATTTAGAGATGTCAGGTACAACAAGAACATTTGATAACTTAAGATCAGAGGTGACAGTAGAATCACCAATGTGGGAAATAGATAATTGAGCACCATTACCAACTGAGACACAAGAATTACCAGAATAGGGAGAGACCGAATTGTAAGGAATAAATGTAATTAGATTTTGATGATGCTATAGGATTAGAAAGTTAGATCACCCCCAAATTAGATTTTATGTATTAGAATTTTCAATTGTAAGTATTAGTGTAGTCGACGATCAGAGTTGCTCTGTTTTGGATCAAATCAGAAGTGCATCAGAACTGCTCGACCAGACTTGCTCTGTGAGAACTGCTCCATCAGAGTTCTCTTACCAGAAGTCCATCAGAGTTGCACCATGAGAGTTGCTGATAAGCTTGGACATCTGATAACCAATGAGAGTTACAGATCAGAGGTACTCATCAGCGGACCTATCAGAGTCAGAGTTAGAGTTCAGTCAGAGATCAGAAAGCCATCAGAACTCAACTCTTCAGAAAGCAATCAGAATCCAACACATCAGAAGAGCCTGATCAGAGCCCGACTAACACTTAGAAGATCTCAAGCAACATCCAACAGCTATGAATCCAACGGGTAAAAACATCCAACGGCTAGAAGACTGTGCATGAAAGGAAAGCATTTAATGCACATTAAATGAGCCTGATACGCTGAAGGATTGATTGCAAATGATTGACCAAGGAATCCGGGAAGATATATTATAAAAATAGAAACCTTCCAAAACGGCGGTCAAGTCAACAGTACGCGCATTTAATGCAGTTGTCTCCTCCTCCAACGGGCAGACAACCCCAGTATATAAGCTACTCACCGAAGAACAGGGATATGACTTTTGCTACAACTTTTGCTCATCATATTTTCAAGCTCTCTTGAGATTCAAACTCCACATTCTTCAACAAGACAGGCTTACGTTGGGAAGACTCTAATTTTCATAACCTCAAACCCCAACACACAGCAAAGTTCATCCTGTTTCTTCAACACTTCAAGAACTTCAACTACATATCTCTTGTAACGAAGCAAGTTGGAGAAAACTCTGTTTTCAGAACATCTTCTGCAAAGAAGGGCGTCCAAGTAACTGCAGTAGTGAAGTGGTGATACTTCCGAGAAGCTGAGTGAAAGGACCAGTCATCAGGAAGCAGGATTGCATCCCGGGTGACAACTAGACTTGAAGAAGGCGTGGAGAACTTCTTAAGTGCTAGGGACTAAGCTTTGTAACCGATCTACTTCAAAGCTAGTGGAACAGTGGACTAGAGGAACGAGTTGTTCCTTGAACCACTATAAAAATATCCGGTGTCATTTACTTTACTGCAATTTACATTTCTACACTTAGGATATTAACTGTTAACTCTAAGACTTGGAATCTGTGTTCAGCAGATCTTGTTTTCAGAGTTATCAGAAAGGCATTTGCCTTAGTGTTTCTGAGGCTACCCGGACAGATCAGAATCCGCTGCCAAGGTCAGTTCTGATATCAGAACCAGCCTTTCTCTGTCACCAGAATCAGACATTCTCTGATAAGTCATTTTGGACTTAGAGAAAATTTGAAAAACCAATCAGTCTATTCACCCCCCCCTCTAGACTGATTACCATATTAAACGGGACCAACAAGTGGTATCAGAGCCTCCTTGTTCTTGTAATCTTTTAGGTTACTCTCTGAACAAAGATCCACTTGTTCTTAGCCTCTATTTATTTGTTATTATGGATAACTCTCTTGCAAAGCACCTCATGTTTTCAGATCAGAAGTATGATGACTGGAAGATCAGAATGAAAGCACACCTCTGCGCTCTTCATGATGAAATGTGGGAAGTCCTTGAAGAAGGACCTTTCATCAAATTTATGAAGGTGAATACTGAGCATACTATTGACAGGACTCAGCCTGAGATGATTGAGAAAGCCAGATCAGAATGGACAAAGGAAGAGAGGAGACAGTACAATCTTGACAATATTGCCAAAGATATCCTCTACAAAGCCATCGACAACAGATACTTCAACAGAATCAAGAAGTGTCGAACTGCCAAAGAAATATGGGACAAACTTGATCTCATAGGAGCAGGTGATGAACAAGAGAGAGACAACAAACTGACAATAGCTATGAAGAAGTTTGATGACTTCAAACTTCTACCTGAGGAATGCATAGCTGAGATGCATGCCAGACTTCTGATTCTTACCAGTGAGATATCCGAGCTTGGGAAGGAGCTCACAGTTAAAGAAGTCAACCTGAAGATTCTCAGAGGACTGCCCCCAGTCTGGAAGATGAAGGTTATTGCTGTCCAAGAAAGCAAGGACATCAAAACCTATCCCACAGAGAAACTGATATCTGATCTCAAAGCTTATGAGTTTGAGATGCATGATGAGAAAGAAGAAGTGCCAGATGAGAGAACCACAACTGCTCTTACTGCCAGCACTTCTAAGGCTACAAATTTTGATCCCTCAACTCTTCTATCTGATGAATATATGGCTGCCTTTGCCAGAAAATTCAGAAAATTTATGAAGAAAGATGGAAGGAGTCCATCTTCCATCAGAAGACCACATCAGAAGACCAAATCTTCTGAGAGCAATGGAGAGTACCTCTGCTACAACTGCAGACAACCTGGGCACTTCAAAGCAAACTGCCCCTATCCAAGAGTGTCCAAGAAGCAAGGACATGAAGAAGAAAAGAAACCAGAAGATCAACACAGAAGAAGAAGAGCATTCGTCTCAGAGCAAGCTGAGAGAGATCCACTCTCTGAATCAGAGTCCAGCTCAGACTCCGACTCTGATGAAGCATTCTGCAGCTTGGATGCAGAAACTGAAGACCTCTGCCTCATGGCACAATCAGATGATGAGGTATGCTCTACTTCTGATTCTATTTCTTTTTCGGTAGGCACAGCCTTAAATGATGATCCAATGTCATCATTTTGGGAAGAGTTCCAAACTATCCAAGCCACTTATTCTTCTGTTAAAGATGAGAACAGTAGGCTGAAAGTTGATATCTCTGATCTAAGGAAAGAGACTGAGTGCAAACTTAATCTCTTAACTGAGGAAAGAGATAGACTGAAGGCTGAAAATAAGTCTCTTCTTAAAAGAATAAGAGACATTGAAGAACTTGAGAGTAAATATAATAGTCTTCTGAAGATGCAATCTTCCATGAAGAATATTGGTGACTCTCATAACTTCACCCCTGGTCTTGGATATGTTGAACCAGAGTCTGGTGAGCCTTCTGTAAGGCCTAGCACCAAAGTTGCTAAGGCTAAAAAGGTCATAGTGCCACAGACTCTGAGCCCCATTTGCCATGC